TAGTAGAATGAAAATTTCAAGCCCATCTTGGGCAATGGAGATAAATTTAAAAAATCCTTTCTCAAAATTTTCAATGCTGGTTTTAATTCAGTGTGAAAAGTCTTGCTTCAATACCTAGTATTGTAAAAAAATGTCTGTAAAATTTCTTTAAATGTTTGGTAGAATTCACAGACAAGTCTCTTTGGTCTAGAGCTTATTAACAATCAGAAAGTGTTTTATTACTGATTCAATCTCTTCAGAATAATTATTCTCCTAGAAAAAATTATGACTGTATCTATCAATCCTGTATAACTGAAGGCACATCACAGTTGCACGCCATCCTACGTTTGAGGTGCTTACATTCACCTAAAAATGTCTGAAGTTTATTATTTTGGGGGTCAGAATAGCATTCCATTTTTTATGTATTATTTATTGTATGTAAGAAATGCTGACGAGGATGTGGGGAAAATGAACCCTTATCCATTGTTGATGGGAGAGTAAAGTGGTACAACTACTATGAAAATCAGTATGGAGGTTCAAAAACAAACAAACAAAAAAATTAAACGTAAACGTTCTATTTGCTCCAGCTATTCATCTTTCACTATCTTCCCAAGAAAGCTAATGGCATCATTTTACAGTCATATATGCCTATTGATAGCAGAACAATTTACAAAACATTGGAAACAGCCTATATACTCATCAACAAATGAGTAGATAAATATAATGTGACATTTATGTACAATGGAGTACTATGCTTCTATTAATATATTTTGAATAATTTTTCTTAGTATTTTTAATTTTATCATATGCTACCAATATTATAATATTTTATGTATATACAGAGTCTATCAAAAATTTATACACATTTAAGGAAGAGCAAAATTTGTAAAAATACTCTAATACTAATTTCATTGAGACATCATGAGATTAATACAAGTCAACTTTGGCAGCTACAATTGCAAGAGGTGCTCAAAGTGGTGGCCATTACCTTGCAGACATTAACTGGTTTTCTTTTTCTGAAATGTGTGCACATTTTTTTCAGACTATCTATGTATAATACCCTTCTGTAAAATTCTTTCACAGTAAAATTTCAGTTAGACTTTCTGATATGATGAAATAGATTTAAACAGTTAAAGTGGAAGAAACAGATGTATTAGACAAGTTGAATTCGGGATGTGTATGCAAGGGCAGTGAAATGAAGCTGAACAGAAATGAGGGAGAGACCCAGATGAGGCACAGCTGGAGTCGGGAGTGAGGAAAAGGCTCGTGTTAAATTATTCCCCTCCATAACGTTGATATTAAGGACATATTATCTTGGGATTGGAATGGTAGTAGCGATTCTGACAACTATCAGGTTAATGAGGAGCTTTGGAAATTGACCCCTGAGGGATACAGAAACTTACGAATCAGGCTGTGCAACCTGACTCAAAGGCTCTGCCGAGTCAGGCAGAAACAGCTGTACTCTCTCCAGAGAAGGGTTTTCTTGGTGCAGGAGCATTGAGTTAGTCCCTGTCCCGCACTTCCTGAGTACAGATCTCTTGACTTTCACCTGCAGTTGACTTTCTGAGCACCATTTTCAGAGAAACCATTTGGTAAGCTGAAGTCTCTTTATAATTTAAAAATGAGTGCAGATATTGGAGTACAATTTCACCTCCTTCAGAAATTTCATGTAAATTGGGGTGTGAGTCCTTTGGGTGAGGACGTGGAGAAAGCGTAGCTCACTGAAGAGTTTCTTTCTTATTATTCCCACTATTAGGAAGAGCAGAAGTGATTAAAATAACAACACCTTCAACACAAATGGCCGTCGTGCTCCCACCCTTAACCAATGCTATTAAGGTAGTGTTGTTTCTTGTCTCATTAAACAGAGTAATAAAATTCAAAGCACCCACAATACACCACCTTGACAAGCTTCTCTATTGTTCTATCTTCTCAGACAGTCCTCATGAATGTCACACAGGTGTGCCTCCTAATGGGATGTGCAAACATCAGCACAAGACAGTAACTGTAGCACCTCTCGTTTAAAGAATGTTCAAGTAAACTGCTGGAAGTATAGTGGAACAGTCTAGTAAATCTAGTAATTAACATAAAGTAAGGAGGACTACATATAATATTTATCAGAAATTAATATTATGTAAGGGCCGATTGTAAACGATATACTTAAACACTAGGATTCTCTTGCATAAAAAAATTAAAAGGCAACAGGATGAATTAGTTTTAAAAATCATATTAATTTTATCGAAATTCAAAGAGAATAAGGTATGCCAATTTTACATGCAGCTTTCCACATGGGAAAAAATCAAATTTGTAAAATAACATGCTGGAAGGGGCTTCAAATATGTCCTTATTATTTCTCATAATAAAAATATCTTAAAAACGTGGTGAAATGTGTGGCATTTTGGTTTAAATATAGGGAGTGCCAGCTCTTCAAAATTTTCTCCAGTTTTAGTAATGCATGCATAATACTTCAGGAAAATGCACACACTTGCAAAGTTTCAGTTAAATGTAAATTTTTCTCATGTAGCATTTTTCTGATAATATTCCTGAATCATAATAACTTTGAGAGTCATATGTTTGACTTTTAATATTTAATTCATTCTCATTACAACATATTTTATCATATGTTAATGCCAAATGAATGATGGCATCACTGAAATTTCTTTCCTGACATTTTTACTTAGTCAAGATTCACAAAGGTAATTTGAACATGTGTATTCTTCACTGATAATGGCCTTGCTCATGTTACATTATTTTCTGTCTTTCTTCTTGCTCTCTTTAATTATCCCACACAATCACTTCCTTTTGATTTGTGAAAGGCGCATTGTGCAATTGTTGCTCATGAAAGACAGTCAGACACACATACAAAGGCACAAAAGTTTGAACTATATTGGCTGTTTTTGCTGAATTTATTTCTCATAACTTTGAAATATCTCTGAGAAGATTTTAAGCCTGAGAATTGGTGGTGTAATTATAAAATAAAGACTATTCATTTAACTTATGTGCAGTACATTTTGGAGAAGCAGACATTGGAAAAGATCTCCATTCTGCAGTCAGGGAGCACATCCATTAAGCATTTTGCTTTATACAAATAAAAAACATACAGTTGAAGATTATTCCATTGTTACAAAAAACTGCTGCAGGATAGGGTAAATGTAAAGCCATAGCTCTCATTTACACCAAATGATCATTGCTGATATAGCTGCTTCTCACTTTCCCCGGGGTGAAACAGCATTGCTCACAAGAGACATTCTTAGGATGACAAAAATATCAGAGTCCAAGTAATTTTTAAAGTCTGTGTCTTATAGAAAGGAGGAATTTCTTTTTATCTATCTTTTTGTCATAGGGGTCTCTGCATTTTACTTTTGTCACATTTAGTTATTCATTTGTTTGCTTTCAAATTTTGGTAATTATTTATTTTTTCCTTCATTAAGGGATGAATTTCCCATAGGATTAGAAATACTGTTTTCAACATAGTTACATAGCTTCTCCTAAAATTAATTGCAGATCAGATCACTTATGTTTCCAAGGGTTGATGACATTGCCAACTTCAACTCTAAAGGCACGGATTTTCAGTTATTTGCCAGGTCCACCTGCATGTCTGTCTTCCACATCATACAGCTCACTTAATGCCTAAGCGATGACACACTTTGAAGGCAAGGGGAAGTTTGGGGATGCATTTCAATGAGAAACTATTACAATTTTGAAGGAAATTAATCAGAAACACAGAGGATCAGCTCGGCAGTCTGACAATGAGATATTCAACATAGCATTTCTCAAAGTGTGTGTAGACTTGTCTCTGACATGTGCTGACAGGTCCATGGGTCTAACAGGTAAAGTGTCTCATCTGTAAATAAAAAAGACATGCAGGTGATACTGGGACTTTCAAAAGCAAGAGACCATTGCTTCAAAATATACCATTGGTCCTTAGCCCTGGGCTGTGGAGTGGTTCATGGCCAATTAGGAATCAGGTGACACAGCAAAGGCAGGTGTCAAAGCTGCACAATTGTAGCCACTCAGCCTGGTTTACATTACTGCCTGAGCTCTGCCTTCTGTCTGATGAGCACTAGCTTTAGGCTCTCACAGGAGTTGAACTCTGCAGTGGAGGTGAGAGGCTGATACTAACACTGGAAAATGGGTGCAAATAGTGCTTAAAAGCAGCAGAGATATCTTCACAGAGACCATGATAAATCAATTGCTTGCCGACTCCTGACAAAACCTTATCAGTGAGTGGCAAGTGGCAATTAAGTTGCACTTGGTAGCCCAGGTTACAGTGGCAAGTGATGTGTTTCAATTGATATATTTCAATACATCTTGGGGCAGGGTTAAGGTAAGAATCCAACCATATTTTCAGTTAGTATGAGACCTGTCCATTATTTTCTTTTGCATTATAGTGAAACCTATAATTATTACATTTTGCACTACATTGTAATAATAATATTATAAATAGAGAGTACAGCAGAATTAATGCATTTGATTTGTCCCAGCCTGCTAATCTTCCCACAGTCTGTGGAAATAGTCTTCTGTGAAATTGATCTCCAGTACCAAAAAGGATGGGGACTGATCCTCTACAAGATACATTTAAGTAGTTTATTCTCACATTTCCTTTGTTTAAAGGTATGGATAGAAAGAAAATATTAGGTCTTATGCTTCATTTTAATCCTGTTTTACCAACATCATGAAAAAGCATGGATATTCAGTAAAGGAAGTAGTAGTCAGAGAAGAGAAGAAAAGTAGAGGAAGAAGTGGGGAGAGAAAGATCTGAATATTCTCTTAGTTTGCAATGTGAATTCTTACTTGTTATCTATTTTAAGCCACAGTTAAAAGCATTTCAGAAATATTAAAGTCACAGTAAGTATATGCTAACCATGGAATGCTGGTTCTTATTCCCAAAGTGCATAAAACAGACATCCATAATGTTTTCAAGAATTTTCATTTCTATCATGCTCATGAGACTTTGGTTCTCAGCCAGAAATCATTGTTTCATTTCATTTTTACCCCAACTTTTCAACAGATTCACCAACAACATGAAATTTAAAAACCAAACATCTGTCTCAGAATTCCTTCTTGTGGGCCTGACAGATGATCCAGAACTGCAGCCCCTCATCTTCAACCTTTTCCTGGTTATCTACCTGGTCACCATCCTGGGAAACCTGATCATCATCCTGGCAATCAGCTCTGACTCCCACCTCCACACCCCCATGTACTTCTTCCTGTCCAACCTGTCCCTCACTGACATCTGTATAAGCACGAACACTATCCCAAAGATGCTAGTGAACATCCAAACAGAGGATCAGAGAATCAGTTACACAGGCTGCTTTTCTCAGCTTTGTTTAGTATTAGTATTTTTCTGTTTAGAAAACTGTCTCCTTCTGGTCATGGCTTATGACCGCTATGTGGCCATTTGTCATCCCTTGAGGTACACGGTCATCATGCACCCATGCCTCTGTGTCCTTCTGGTTCTACTCTCCCTGCTCGTGAGCATTGTCCATGGTCTACTGCACAGTCTGGCGGCACTGCCACTGTCCTTCTGTACAAATGTGGAAATCCCGCACTTCTTCTGTGACCTTGCTCAGATCCTCAAGCTGGCCTGTTCTGATATCTTTATTAATGCCATGCTGATATATTCAGCAGGAAACACATTTTTTGGTGTTCCTCTCATTGGAATTATTTTCTCTTACTTTAAAATTATCTCCTGTATTTTGAGAATGCCATCAGTTGGGGGAAGGTATAAGGCGTTTTCCACCTGTGGGTCTCACCTCTTTGTTGTTTCCTTTTTCTATGGGACAGGTTTTGGTGTGTACTTGAGTTCTACATTTAGTAACTCTTCCAATAAGAGTGCAATGGCCTCTGTGATGTACATTGTGGTCCCTCAAGTGATGAACCCTTTTATCTACAGTTTGAGGAACAAAGAAATGAAGACAGTTCTGAGGCGCCTCATTAATTGGAAGCCTTTTATATGCTGGGGTCTTGGGCTTTGAGCTAGCCTTTCTAGAATAGCACAAGATGAGAAGAATACAGGCTGGACAGAAGCCTCACACCTTGTCACTAAGATCTTCCAAAATGCCCACCTAATATGATGTCTAACCATGTTTCAACTTGTACTTTGTGCTTGCCTTTAATTATTCAATTCTACTATTTTTGACAAATAATTTCAACCTTTAAAATCAATTGTATTGCTGTGAATCATTTAAACAAAAAACATTAATTGAGTCCTCAGTTTGAAAAACTGTTCATTCATCATTTTCCCAGAGGTAATGTTGGAGTAGGTGAACCGAATGAAAACTTCACTGATATCTGGAGATGAGCTTCTGTGTGGTCCCATAGACAGAGCCATGATTGCTTTCTCCCACATGATGTCAATGAACTGGACTGTTATGTGCAATCAAGTAATTACTGACACTTTCCTCAGGCAAATGCATTTTTATGAATTCATATTAGCATCTCCTCTATTAGGTGTCATTATTTTGCTAAGTCATATAAGATTATATGTCAGTGCTTTGAGATACTTTTGAAGTATTTTGGATTTTGAGCCTCATTATTTCTTCTAACAAAAAGAAACCTTTACACAAATAAGCTTGGACAATCAAGGCAATAATTATTCATTAGTACTATTTCACAAATACAATACCTAGTGTCCAGGATTAGGTCTTCATGGAGGCCTCGATGAGATGGACTCATTGTAGGATTGCTCTCCCAATCATTGGGTTCTAGAGCTTGAATCTGAAATGTCCTCAAAGGCTCATGAGTTAAAGGGTCCGTCTGCAGCATTTGATCCTTGAAAAATTGTTGTGCCACTAAGAACTGGTACCAGTTATGTAGAAATTAGCTCAATGCAGGCATGGCCTTGAAGGACATAGTGGAAATCAACACCATTTCACTTGGCCTCCCTGCTACCATGTATTGAATATCCTTGGCCTATCACTGGCTCCTCAGAAAAATGTCCTTGCTCTCCACAAGCCTAAAAGCAGTGAAGCTATCTGACCATAGACTGAAAACTCTCAAATTTAGAGCCTAAGTAAAGCTTTCTTCATTTTTAAATTAGTTGGTTCAGAATTCTTTTTACAGTAATGGAAAGACGACCAGCACATCAAATAGCTGCAGGATATGGCAACATCAGATCCAATTTGAACTTAGAGTCAAGAAACTGAGTGCTCCTTCCTTGGTGTATTAATAATTCTTCTCTTTTTGGAGTAAACCTGCAAATACTTCTCTTATGAAATGGATAATGGTCATATAAATGATACTTCAATGACTTTATCCCTCTTATTGTTGTAACTGGAAAACTACAGGAGAAGTGGTTGAATGCTGCTTTCATCAAGAAACAGTGGCCTTATTCTGGATCACTTGTTTCACTACTAAATGGAATTTCACATATTAAAAGACAAATTTAGAGAATAAAATTGGGTTAATATGGACAAATTTCATTGCACTTTAGTACAGGTACTCATTTGTAGATCTCTAAGGCATTATCACCATTTTATGTGTCTGTATAATATTTTGATCTCACGATTTTTTAACTTTCATAAAGATTCTAGGTCATTTAAAAAATACTTGAAGCCATAGGCACTGTTATGACTTGTGTATCGATGTCCCCCCAAAGCCTCATGCAGTTGTAGATGGAACATTTTCTGATGTGCTGAATCTAGAATGTTTGCTTCTGGAATTAAAGGGTTTGTGATTATTACAACAGCTGAGTGACTGGTTTGGCATCAGCCTGTACCTGGTAGTCTGGATGAGATAAAAGTGCCAGAAAGATGTTAAAGCCTCTTGCTGTTTTGCTATCTTCTGCCTGAGGTAAACTGTTTCTCCTCTACCAAACCATCCTGCACTGGAGCCAGTCAATTTTGAACTTAAACCTCAATGAACTGTAAGCCAAGTAAACCTTTCCTCCCTTAACTTTTCATGTTTAGAATTTTGTCTAAGCAAGGAGAGAAAAGTAACTCATACACAGATGATGACTTTCCTAGATAGGACTCCAGAAGCACATGAAATAATATCAATAATTGACAGGCTTATATCAAATTAATATCTTCTACACACCAAAGGTATAAGCAAAATGAAGAGACAAAGCAATGAGTGGAAGTAAACCTCTTCTGCCTATGATTCTGATAAAGGATAAATATATAGAATATGTAGAGAACTCAAAAAATGTGAAATGTCTTTTTCACTTTTTTTTCTGTATTGAGAATTGAACTCAGGGCCTCACACTTTCCAGACAGATACTGCACAACTGACCAACATCCCCAGCCCCGTGATTTTATTTTTCTCTTTTCTCCTTTACTCTGATTTTTCCATATAGTTTTTGTTATCTCATGCAATTATATTAATTTTCTTTTATTTTGAAATAGGATCCTTTACTTCACGTTTCAATCTTCCTTCCCTCCATTTCTATTTTTTAAAATTTAAATTGAATTTATTGGTACATTCTATGTAGACAGTACAGTTACATTCATTACTGGGATCTTGTACCTTTACATGCCAGGTCTTAGTTCTCATTTTTTCACCTTTTCCCCACCTCTCTTCATCCCCACCTCTCCTTCCCACCTTCAAACAATTTAACTCCATTTTTACATTTTGTCATATTTTTTTCCTTTTCTCTTATTCCCCTTTCCCTACCATTCTCACTGTCCCTAAACCTTTGGTCCTTTTCTTCCTATTTCACATTGCTAATAGTCCCGTTAGGATCTTGAGTACTCTTTTAGTTTATCACACCAGAGAAACTATTTGATACTTGCATATGTGTGACTTATTTATTTCACTTCGGAGTATATCCTCAAAATGTACCCATTTACCTATGAATGAATCTATTTTCTCATTCTTTATGGCTGAGTAGTATTCCGTTTTATAGAAAACCACATCTTCTTAATCCAGTTTCCACCTGATGGGCAGGGGGGCTGTTTCCAAGTTTTAGCTATTACCACTGTGCCACTATAAACGTGGGTGCACATTTATCACTGTGGTATGATACTTTTAATTCTTTTGGAAAGATACCCAACAGAGGGATGACTGGGTCAAATGGAATCTCTAATCCAAGTTCTTTGAGATATCTCCATATTGCCTTCCATAGTGGTAGCACCAGTCTGCACTCCCACAAACAATGGAAGAGTGTTCCTTTCTCCCCACAACCCTGCCAACATTTGTAATCGTGTGATTTCTTGATAGAAGCCATTCTTGGTGGGGTGAGGTGGAATCTCAGTTTTGGTTTCATCTGCATCTCTAGAATGACCAGTGATGTGGAACAATTTTTCATATATTTACTTGCTGCTTTTATTTCTTTGAGAAGTGTCTGTTCATTTCAGATGCCCATTTTTGAATTGGGTCTTTATATTTGGGGGGTGATTGCTTTGAGTTCTTTATATATTCTAGATAATAGTCCTTGTTCTGAGGAGCAGCTGGTAAAAAGTTTTTCCCACATAGTAGATTGTCTCTTAGTTCTGTTGATGGTTTCTTTTGCAGTGCAGAAGCTTTTTAATAAGATGAGATCCCACTTGTTGTTTCTTTCTGCTAGTTCCCGTGCTACTGAGGCTTTGTTCATAAAGTCTCTTCTTATGCCAATGTCTTCCACAGCTCTGCCTAATTTATCTTCCAGCAAGTTTAGTGTTTTTCTTTTATATTTAGATCTTTAATCCACTTGGATTTTAATTTAGTGCTTGTTGAAAGATAAGGGTCTAGTTTTAATGTTTGGCAGGATGAGATCCAGTTTTTCCAAAACCATTTATTAAAGAGGCTGTCTTTCCTCCAGTGGGGCCTGTCAGTTCCTTTGTTAAAAATGAGATAGCTGAGTGAATCTGAAGTTGTTTTTGTTTCTTGTAGTCTGTTCCACTGATCCTCTGGTCTATTTCTTTGGCAGTACCAGGCTGTTTTTATCACAGTGACTTTGTAGTATAGTTTCAAATTGGGAATTGTTATAGCCACTGCCATGTGTCTGTTGCCTAGGATGGCTTCTGCTATTGTAGCTCTCTTATGGTTCCAAATGAATTTTTGGATGCTTCTTTCTAGTTCTGTGAAGTATAGTGTTGGGATTTCAATTGGTATTGCATTGAATGTGTACAGCAGTTTTGGTAGTATGGTCATTTTCACTATGTTGATTCTTCCGAACTAGGTGCAGGGGACATCTTTTCATTTTCTTATATCCTCCTCGATCTCCTTTCTCAGAGTGCCATAGTTTTCAGTGTAGACGTCTTTTGCTTCTTTTGTTATGTTGCTTCCCAGATAATTCATTTTTTGGGGTGCTATTGTAAAATGAATTGTTTCCCTAATTTCTCTCTCAGTGAGTCTGTTATTGGTGTACAAGAAAGCTATTGAATTTTGGGTGTTGACCTTGTATCCAGCTACTCTGACAAAAGTGTCAATTAAATTGAGAAAACTTTTGGTGGAGTTCTTTGTGTCTTCATTGTAGAGTATCCTATCATCAGCAAATAATGACAGTTGAACTTCTTCCTTTCCTATCTTTATTGATTTAATTTCTTTCTCTTGTCTAATTGTTATGGCTAATGTTTCCAGAACTATATCAAAGAGGAGTGGTGATAATTGGCATCCTTGTCTTGTTTATGATTTTAACATGAAGTTTTTCAGTTTTTGGCCATTTAATATGATGGTGGCTGTTGGTTTTCATAGATAGCCTTTATTAAGTTGAGCTATAGACCATATATTCCAATTTTTTGCAGAGTTTTTATCTTGAATGATTGTTGAATTTTTGTCAAATGCTTTTTCTGCATCTATCGAGAGGATCATGTGGTTCTTGTCCTTGACTTTGTTAATATAGTGTATTACATTTATTGATTTATGTATGTTGAACCATCCTTGCATCCCTGGAATAAATCTGATTTATTTAGGATGTATGATCTTGATGATCCTCTGTATTCATTTTGCTACTATCTTATTGAGGATTTTTGTATCTATATTTATTAAGGAGATTGGCCTGTAGTTCTCTTTTTTAGTTGTGTCTCTCCCTGGTTTGGGAATCCAAGTGATACTT